ATCTTCAAACTTTCGTTTGAGTTTATGTTGAGTTGATTTATTGTAAGGAAAGGAATGTAGTTACTACATAATAATAATATATTTTAAAGATGTCTTTCTCCCTCACCTCCTAGTAATGTTGTCGTAGATATTTCGTATTGAACACGTATTGGTTTCTGGTCGTCTAATTGCTCTTTAATACCTCGAGCACCCATTTTATTAATTTAAGATCTGTTTAACTAAAAATTCAGCTTCAAAAATTTCTCCATAAGTAGATATATTTCATGACACTGACAGATATTATTTTTCATAACGAAATGCACTGTATTTACTACTCAGTTATTTTAATGTTTTGACGTTTCAAGTATTTTTCTGAAAAGGGAGATATACGACCATAGACATTTAATACAAATAGACTCACTGCTGCAATACATTAGCATTCCCCCAGTGCGACAGAGAAAACTGATGCAAAGCAGTGCCTGCATCTCTTTCTAATGGACCGGGTTTATCGACGACTTTGCCTTCTCATACTATATTATTTATCTATGGCCTTCTTATTGATCATTTAGGTCATGTGATCGATAAACCTGACAAGTCAGAAAGGGACTGCCGTGCGTAAGTTTTCTCTATCGCACAGTGGAAAGGCAACTGTATTACAGCGCTCAGTCAATTCGTACTATATGTCTATGTATATGACATCTTAGCAATAAGCGTGTAACCAATATGTCGTAACCCACAGTTTTATTATTATTTTATTTAAGTTTCTGCTTCTGTTATTACCGATACATGTTTCTGCAAAACATCGTAACCCATAGAATGTTCCCTATTTTTTTTTTATTAATATTTAAGTAATACATCGGAAGCCACTATGCATTTAAATTATCAGTATATATATATATATATATATATAATATATATATATATATAGGTATATATATATATATATATATATATAATATATATATATATATATATATATATAGGTATATATATATAATATATATATATATATATATATATATATACATATGTATATATATATATAATATATATATATATATATATAATATATATATATATATATATATATATATATATATATATATGTAAGAATTAAATCTTTTAGCGAAAGCCGCTATCGCTGTATGTATTAAATGGCCAACTATATGGCCTAGGAGACAAATTCGTTAAACTTCCCGTGCTCGAATTGGTATCACTAAAGTGTTATGATCATTTCGGCCTATCCCAGCCATCGTCAGACACTTGGGCTGATACAAATTCAAACTCGGAAAGTAAAACGAATGTCTCCCAATCTTCACTACCGTGTAGTTAGCTTATAAAGGCGCCCTCTATTTTGAAGGCCGTGAACGAAACGATATGAATAATCGTTTTCTGTATCCTTTATGCTATGCGAAATGTGTAAGAATTAAATCTTTTAGCGAAAGCCGCTATCGCTGTATGTATTAAATGGCCAACTATATGGCCTAGGAGACAAATTCGTTAAACTTCCCGTGCTCGAATTGGTATCACTAAAGTGTTATGATCATTTCGGCCTATCCCAGCCATCGTCAGACACTTGGGCTGATACAAATTCAAACTCGGAAAGTAAAACGAATGTCTCCCAATCTTCACTACCGTGTAGTTAGCTTATAAAGGCGCCCTCTATTTTGAAGGCCGTGAACGAAACGATATGAATAATCGTTTTCTGTATCCTTTATGCTATGCGAAATGTGTAAGAATTAAATCTTTTAGCGAAAGCCGCTATCGCTGTATGTATTAAATGGCCAACTATATGGCCTAGGAGACAAATTCGTTAAACTTCCCGTGCTCGAATTGGTATCACTAAAGTGTTATGATCATTTCGGCCTATCCCAGCCATCGTCAGACACTTGGGCTGATACAAATTCAAACTCGGAAAGTAAAACGAATGTCTCCCAATCTTCACTACCGTGTAGTTAGCTTATAAAGGCGCCCTCTATTTTGAAGGCCGTGAACGAAACGATATGAATAATCGTTTTCTGTATCCTTTATGCTATGCGAAATGTGTAAGAATTAAATCTTTTAGCGAAAGCCGCTATCGCTGTATGTATTAAATGGCCAACTATATGGCCTAGGAGACAAATTCGTTAAACTTCCCGTGCTCGAATTGGTATCACTAAAGTGTTATGATCATTTCGGCCTATCCCAGCCATCGTCAGACACTTGGGCTGATACAAATTCAAACTCGGAAAGTAAAACGAATGTCTCCCAATCTTCACTACCGTGTAGTTAGCTTATAAAGGCGCCCTCTATTTTGAAGGCCGTGAACGAAACGATATGAATAATCGTTTTCTGTATCCTTTATGCTATGCGAAATGTGTAAGAATTAAATCTTTTAGCGAAAGCCGCTATCGCTGTATGTATTAAATGGCCAACTATATGGCCTAGGAGACAAATTCGTTAAACTTCCCGTGCTCGAATTGGTATCACTAAAGTGTTATGATCATTTCGGCCTATCCCAGCCATCGTCAGACACTTGGGCTGATACAAATTCAAACTCGGAAAGTAAAACGAATGTCTCCCAATCTTCACTACCGTGTAGTTAGCTTATAAAGGCGCCCTCTATTTTGAAGGCCGTGAACGAAACGATATGAATAATCGTTTTCTGTATCCTTTATGCTATGCGAAATGTGTAAGAATTAAATCTTTTAGCGAAAGCCGCTATCGCTGTATGTATTAAATGGCCAACTATATGGCCTAGGAGACAAATTCGTTAAACTTCCCGTGCTCGAATTGGTATCACTAAAGTGTTATGATCATTTCGGCCTATCCCAGCCATCGTCAGACACTTGGGCTGATACAAATTCAAACTCGGAAAGTAAAACGAATGTCTTACACACATAAGCTAACTACACGGTAGTGAAGATTGGGAGACATTCGTTTTACTTTCCGAGTTTGAATTTGTATCAGCCCAAGTGTCTGACGATGGCTGGGATAGGCCGAAATGATCATAACACTTTAGTGATACCAATTCGAGCACGGGAAGTTTAACGAATTTGTCTCCTAGGCCATATAGTTGGCCATTTAATACATACAGCGATAGCGGCTTTCGCTAAAAGATTTAATTCTTACACATTTCGCATAGCATAAAGGATACAGAAAACGATTATTCATATCGTTTCGTTCACGGCCTTCAAAATAGAGGGCGCCTTTATAAGCTAACTACACGGTAGTGAAGATTGGGAGACATTCGTTTTACTTTCCGAGTTTGAATTTGTATCAGCCCAAGTGTCTGACGATGGCTGGGATAGGCCGAAATGATCATAACACTTTAGTGATACCAATTCGAGCACGGGAAGTTTAACGAATTTGTCTCCTAGGCCATATAGTTGGCCATTTAATACATACAGCGATAGCGGCTTTCGCTAAAAGATTTAATTCTTACACATTTCGCATAGCATAAAGGATACAGAAAACGATTATTCATATCGTTTCGTTCACGGCCTTCAAAATAGAGGGCGCCTTTATAAGCTAACTACACGGTAGTGAAGATTGGGAGACATTCGTTTTACTTTCCGAGTTTGAATTTGTATCAGCCCAAGTGTCTGACGATGGCTGGGATAGGCCGAAATGATCATAACACTTTAGTGATACCAATTCGAGCACGGGAAGTTTAACGAATTTGTCTCCTAGGCCATATAGTTGGCCATTTAATACATACAGCGATAGCGGCTTTCGCTAAAAGATTTAATTCTTACACATTTCGCATAGCATAAAGGATACAGAAAACGATTATTCATATCGTTTCGTTCACGGCCTTCAAAATAGAGGGCGCCTTTATAAGCTAACTACACGGTAGTGAAGATTGGGAGACATTCGTTTTACTTTCCGAGTTTGAATTTGTATCAGCCCAAGTGTCTGACGATGGCTGGGATAGGCCGAAATGATCATAACACTTTAGTGATACCAATTCGAGCACGGGAAGTTTAACGAATTTGTCTCCTAGGCCATATAGTTGGCCATTTAATACATATATATATATATATATATATATATATATATATATATATATATATATAGATATATATAATATATATATATATATATATATATATATAATTTCAGTTGTTTTCCGGGTTTGACTCCGCATTAAGTAATTTTGGTTTTTAGAAAAAACCATTGTTTTGACGACGTTTCGGCAAGGTCACACTTGCCATTATCAAGTCAGATTAGTTCTGCTTCGTCTTGATGTTTCAGGAGAACTGATCATCAGTTATATATATATATATATATATATATATATATATATATATATATATATATATATATATATATATATATATATATATATATATATATATATATATATATATATATATATATATGTAACGATGTTAGGAGTAAGTTTAGTTGATAAGATAGTACCGAACTGTAAAGTTATAAATAAATATATTTATATAAATTCGAACCGCTCGTTTTATTTAAAAACGGTAAAGTATTTTTTTGTATTTTAATTATGTATTCGCAGGTATTTTATTGTTATTTATTTACTAACATAACCTCCTTGTTTACTACAAACAGTACGAAAAAAGTGACTGAAAAAATTTGTGATAAAAATGTTTTACAGGACACACGTGAATTTCAAAACAATAGGAACAGGGATTTTTCCTCCAAGGAAAAATCCAAAAATAAAACAAAGATCAAATGTTTTTAATGGGAATATGAATAACAATTACACTGAGAATAATGCAATTAAAAATATTCGATCGTGAAGTTAAAATTAAGATGTAATGTTTGTAATCGGAATATGAATCTTGACAATATGCAGATAAAACTGAATTCAGATAGAAATGGACATGAGATATATTTTCAGAATCGGATTTAAATATGTTAAAGTGTTAATCGTTTAACACATTATGTTGACCATAGCAATTTATACAACCCCACAAAGAATTTTAGATGCTTAACTGGTTGTCTGACCAGTAGTTATGGTCAAGTTCTGCTTAATATAAAACGACGAAGTAAATAAAAAGAAGAAGTAATTTTAGGTTATGACTGTTATGAGGGTTATGAGTTACGGAAAACTCCGGGGAAAAGCGATAATATTTAATAAATTTAAAAATTAACAATATTTTGGTACTTTTTAGTTCACACTATGAGTATTGCAGGCTTAACTAGAATAATTCCCAACTTTCTAAAGTAAGTCATGTCGTTTTATTTTTTTGCTTGAAATATAATAAGTTATTCTTTTAGTCGTTGTACCAGCCAATTTTTGAAACCGATTTCACCTATTCAAGCCACTGTGATCGAAAACGCGGCGGATGTTAAACCAGGAGGCCTATTTAGTATTATAACCCGTTCCATTATTCGAATACATTTTCCAAGACCCTCTGAGAGAAAAAGAATAAAAAGACATGGATGGAATGCTAGAATGAAAACTGCGTCTGGTAGACGAGTTCTAATGAATAGGATATTAAAAGGAAGATTTGTATATTCACATTAAATGTAGAATATGTATAGAATGTAGAGTTGTTTTTAGTGATGAAATAAATTAGAATTTTGTTTTTAACATGGTTAGAGGAAATATAACACCTTACTGTTAGATGGGAGGCTGGAGAGAAGACAACTATGTTGGTTAAAAAAGAAATAGTCATACTCTGTGACAAAAAGCAATTATGAATATTAGACAGATTATCCTACAAGTACAGTTTCGAATGTTTAAAAAATATACATTTCATAACCAGATTATAAACTTCATAACTTACAAGTTTCTTACTATACTTTGAAATGCAAGTGATAAAAAATATTGATGATTGAAATTCAAAAGAGTATAAGTAAGTGGCATTGGACAAAATAGTGTTTCTATAAGGTGTAACTTGTTTTTTTTTGTTTTGATTGATAATTCACAATTATATCCGTTTACATGATCTAGCTTAATCAAATCATTTTTAGCTAACTGTCATTGGCTATATGGAGCGATTTTATCCACAATCAAATATCAAATAAATGCCGATTATTTAAGAAATCCCTTAAATTCTTTTGTTAGTTTATCTTGTTTTCTGAAATGACACAAGAAATGTTTCTTATTTAAATTATTAACATTAACAGATAATGATGTCTTTGCAAAAATGGGGCAATAATTGTCAATAAATCACAGATGGTTGTAGAGTACAAGCATTTGAAATCTGAATGCAGAATTGCCACAAGGAATAAACTAGTAAAAGCAGCTAGTAAAATGAAAGTTATTGACTAATTCTCAAAAAAGACAATTACTATTAAACTATTAGACTATTAAATATTAACAAGGATAAATGTAAAAAGCCTGCATGTCTTTAATTTTTTTTGTACTATAAATGTATCTCTGAATTATATGTACCATACTGAGAGCAAATTTCATTTGCTTCGGCAAAGAGCAGTAACTGTTCTCAACCCTGGCCATTAGGGACTGCTTTTCTTCATAAGTTTTAGCCACCTTTATGTTTCTCCAGTAATTCTATACATTGGTAGCATACATTGGCCTGCGGCTTTCAAAACCAATATTATAATTATACTTTACGTTTAATTCCTTCCTGAAAAATGATTGTTTCACTTTATTTTCCATAGATGTGCTACTATTCTATAGCCTCCACATTGTTTTTATGTTGAATGAAGTTGTGAATAGTGATACACTGTTCTTAAGTTTTCTGAGGTTGATAATCTTCACCTCTGGTTTCTTTTGCTAATCCACCTGATGATTGGTGTGACAGTTGCAATACTCCAGTAATTATGATATGTAAAATTGACATTTAATCTGATTTGCAAACAATCAACTTTTTTCCATCTGTTTTGTTATAAAGGAAATATTTTGTACTCATTGTTCTGGAATTTTAACTTCCATCTTGAGGTCGATATCTTTAAATATTTTTTATCACACAGTACTTTGAAATGAAATTATGTTGGTACATTTTATTATGTTCTCTGTATAAGTTCTTATGTTTATCCAAGGGAGAGGACTGGAAAAAGCATGGAAAAAACCAATCAAAACTTTAGCACACACAGAACTCCTGAAATTAATTTTCTGCAGATGCAAGTGAAACTGTGAAAGTATGTGTGGTTGTCGTTAAATATGCCTCAAATGCTCTACAGTGTGCCTCAATTGTTCTGGTGAAACCTGCAGTGACATTATGGAAATATTAAAATAAATCGAAAAATTCTATGAATTCACAGATGTACTCACAATAACACCAATTCTAACTTCTGTTCTTTCATAAACATTCACCTTTGATACTGAATTAGGTCCTGAAGCGCAGCCCAGACCATCAAAGAAAATGAAAAAACTAGCTGTAAAATCACTTTTTAAATATATAGTTATGCTCAATATTATCTTGTCGCGAAATTGTCAGTGAATTAGTAATAATGGGGATACCACTTATAAAACGCGCCTCCAGATTCTACCTCATTGGTAGTTGGAAAAAAGGTCGATAACTAATAGTACCATAGGAATGTTAACCAAATAATAAATTAGGGGAAAGGTAGGTAAAGTGGAATGGGTGGGTAAAGCGGAATAAGCTTAAAATTTAATTTCAAAATTGGCGGTTTTTGTTGTAACTCCTACCACAATATACCTTTTGACATTTGGCAATATTTACTTCAATATGGCGCACTTTCATTGATATGTTCATGTGAGTTAAACAAGATCATTGTTTTTTAACAAAAAGTTGTAACATTTGGTGACTAAGACGAAATTTCTTATCAGCAACAGGTAAGTTTTTCTAACCGTATTTATTATCTATTGTATAAAATGGTTATTTGTGGACATAAATACTCTTTCTTTAACTTATTAGCACGTTTGGTTAGTAGCTATCGTGTTTGTACAGAAAAAATGTTGATGCGGGTAAAGCGGAATGACGTTCCACTTTACCTCCTAAAAGTTTAACAATGTTATTAAGTGACAACATTTTTTTAGCATGCCTAATTTTTACAAACGAAAGACTTCGCAGCAGAGTTGGGACGAGAAGGCAATGGCTGAGGCTCTAACTGCATGTCAAAGTGGTTTATCAATTCATTCTTCTGCAAAACAATATAACATTCCATCGACAACTCTTTTTAGAAGATTAAAGCGACCACCAGAAGAACGTTTAGTGAAGCAACTTGGACGATTCCGTTGCGTGTTCACGGTAGATCAAGAGAGGATGTTGGTAGACTATATTCTTAAAATGGAAGAACGCCTGTTTGGGCTAACTATTTCTGACTTAAAATATCTTACCTACGAGTTTGCCATACGAAATAACATTGAACATAGATTCAATAATGAGAAGAAAGAATCTGGTAAAGTATGGTTGCTTGGTTTCATGAAACGGCACCCAGTTCTTTCACTTCGACTTCCAGAAAAAACGTCAGCAGCGCGAGCGTCAGCATTTAACGCAGTTAGTGTCGGAAAGTTCTTTGATTTATTGGAAGACTTATACCAAAAACACAACTACAAACCTAACCGCATCTATAATTGTGACGAAACCGGAATCTCTACCGTGCCAAATAAGCCTTCAAAGATTATTTCAAAAAAGGGGAAAAAGCAAGTAGAAGTTTTATCATCAGCTGAAAGAGGTACGCTTACAACTGCAGAAATTTGCTTCAACGCTGCAGGGGAATACATCCCTCCTGCTCTTATTTTTCCATGGGTGAGACATCACTTGACATTCGACATTGGAGTTCCTCTGAATACCAAAATTTTCACGCATGCTTCTGGATGGATGCAGACCGAAATCTTTACGGCTTGGTTTCACCATTTTATTAAATTTGCGAAGCCTACCTCCGAGGACAGGGTTTTACTAATTTTGGATGGCCATTCAACCCACATAAAAAACATTGAAGTCTTAGAGCTTGCTAAGAAAAACTTTGTAGACATCCTGGTGCTACCACCACATTGCACACATCGACTTCAGCCACTGGACGTATCATTTATGTATCCCACGTCGACCTTCTATGAACAGGCAGTGCGAGTTTGGCTGCGAACCCACCCGGGGAAAGTTGTGACGATTCATGATGTCGGTCCTCTCTTCGGAGAAGCTTACTTGAAGGCAGCTAGTATGGCAACAGCTATCTCAGGATTTAAGAAGACGGGTATTTGGCCGTTTGAGAGACCTGATCCAAACGTTTTCGTGGCTGCAGATACAACTGATCGTCCTGGGCCTCTACTCGCTACATCTAACCTGCCATCAGCGTCCACTCCAGTGTCAAATGACATTCTCCTCCATAAGACTATTGTTAGTTCTGCGGATATTTTACCTATCCCACGGGTCGCTTCAAATATCGAAAATCCAACGAAGAAAAGGGCTCGATCAGGAAAAACTGTAGTAGCAACTTCTACCCCTTTTATTGAATAGTTAAAGAATTTGAAGGCTCCGACCCCAAAAAATCCAACCAAGAAAGTTACGAAGCAACTATTTCAAAGCGACAGCGAAGAAGAAGATGATGCAAACATCAGCATTTATAGTGACACCGACAGCGGTTCAGAGTTGGACCTACCAGTTCAAATTCCTACCATAAAAACAGAAGATATTAAGGAAGGGATATATGTAGCTGTAGAGTACAACGGACAAACATTTCCCGGTTTAGTAATTTCAAAATCAGGTGAATCAGCGTCTGTAAAGTGTATGGAAAGGACGCAAAAATATTTCAAATGGCCTAATAAAGATGATGTATTAGATTACAACATTAAGGACATTAAAATGATTATTAATGAACCAAAACAGTTAAGACGAGGGTTTTTCAATGTTCCTGAGCTCTGTTTATATGCTTAGTTGAATAAATAATATTAATCCATTTTAAGTTTTTGTATTCCGCTTTACCTCCAATATGGCGGGTAAAGTGGAATATTACACCACTTTTACTTTTGACGTTTTTCTCCGAAGTGGTGATATATTAGTTTAATTTCTTAACAGTACTACGTAGGGCTATAACGTAAGTGGCTTCTTCCATAAACTCAAACTTTTAAGACGAATACTTCTACCGGGATACAAGCTTGAATCGGTAATTATTCCACTTTACCTACCTTTCCCCTATATTAATAAAAACATAGGTATTGAAAAACTAAGCCTAATGGTTCGTTTTATCATATTCTTATGAGTATTCAAGGGAATTTAGGGAGTGCTGTAAAACCCAGAGAAATTAATGAAATTAAACACATTTGTAGTGAAAATTATTCGTTGAAAACCTTGTATAATATTGCTCTGATTACTTTTTATTGTAAAATGACCAGAAAAAAAGTTCTAAAGCACAAAAGAAAATTTGTTCAAAAATTTAAGTTGTTTTTGTTTATAACTTTTTTAATTTTACGATAAAAGATATTACAAATAAAGTTCAAATAAAATTTAATTTCCTACAAATTGTTAAGTAAAATTTTCTGTAGGGTTTCTAATTTACGAGATACAGAGCGAAAACCCTTTGCTCCCCTTTTTCCAAGATGGCGGCGGGGGACAAGAGTGGCGACAACACAAACTTAAACTTATACCAATCACATTCACACACAAAAAAAATTGCGTCTTCTCAAAAAATAACTTTTCAATGGACTATTAGCATAGTACAATCTAG